TATATATTTTTTATATATATAAAAAGTATCTTTTATATAGTTTTAATGTTCCCTAGGCCAGTACTAGGTAAAGAATTGTTAATTTTATGAGAAGAGCTCACGGGACTCTTGCTCACTATTAGCATTACGAGAGCAATGTGTTCCCTCGCTGATGTGATGGTCCCTTTTCACCGTACCAGCTGTGGGGGAGACATGGTGGAAGGAGCCTTTTTGTCTTCTGTGCTTGTCCTAGAAATTTTAAACATAATGTTCCTTGGTTAAATTTCAAAACGGCTTTTGAGCCCCGTCTAACATGGGAATTTGTTTTGAAATCAAAACCTGAATGTGTTGTTTTGCTGTAGCTTTTAATGAAATCTCTGCTCTTTAATTTCATTCTGACATTTCATCTGAAAATGTTGATGCTCATGAGAGGACTGGGGATTTTGTAGTCTGAATTAAACAGCCTTAGGAGTTGTCAGATTTGAGAACACAGCTTAATTCTCTAGAGTGTGTTTGAGCATGCCTTGGGGATTGCCTGCTCAGCCTTGGGTTTGGGGTCCCTGGCATGTTTTTCCAGAAGCGGGTCTGAGGATACAGCAATGGCATGTAAGTGATAAAGTCTCTGCCACTCTTCCTCTTTCAGAGAATTCGGTCGACAGTGGATGAAAAAGAACAGAAGCAGCTTCTGATGGACCTTGATGTAGTAATGAGAAGCAGTGACTGCCCGTATATTGTTCAGTTTTATGGCGCACTCTTCAGAGAGGTGGGCACTCCGAACTTGCTTCATTCATAGTAGAGTTTGGTTTTTACCTTTTTTTTTTTTCTTTACAGTTCCCAACTTGCAATAAGGAGGAGAAAATTTATGTTAGGTTTCTTAGCTCTCCACTTTTAATCAAGAGTATTTATTCAGGAGACCCAGATGTCTGGGTGCTGCTGAGCACATACATGCTGTTCCCATTCATTGTTATGTCTCTCTGCATATATCATTCTCTCCTTCTTTCCTGCTTTTCTTCTCTCTTGATGAGCTCTGTGTCTGTGGCTTCCTCACGCAGAGTGGGTGCTGCCGGGCTGGGTGCAGCTCTGCCGCACAGCACTTGGACACGAATGTGGTTTATGTCAGTGATTGTGAGATATGACCGTGTGAAGGACCTGTAATGAAGGTGGCTGCTGTAATAGTAGTCACAGCTCCCCATAAGGTTATCTGGTGTATGTATGTGTGTACGTATCCAGGCTGGGTTGGAGACTCCTAGTTGACATGCATCTACCTTGAAGTGGTTTGTACCTGCAGATACGTAAGAGAACAAGGGCAACCATGATGGGTCAGACCAAAACTCCTAGCAGGGTGTTCTGTCTCTGACAGTGACCCACAGGATCTGCTTGCAGAAGCGTGTGTTACCACCATAGCCTTCAGTCATATGCAGCTGAGTGTCTTCTGAGCTAGACGTGCTGTCTTTGTGCCCAGTGACTCTTACTGGATTTCTTTTCCATGAAAGTGTTCAATTTCCCTCTGAATATGTGTACATTTTTTGCATCCATGGTGCTCCCCAAGAGGCACTTCCCTGGGTTGTCCACCCCTTATTTGAAGGCCCATTGCCTTGATTCATTTTGAATTTTCATCCTGCTGTTTTCAGTGGTGCCCCTAGTGCTTCACCTAGCTTTTGTATTTGAAGAAGCAGTAAACAGTTGATCTTTATCCATCCTCTCCAGGCCACTGAGGATTTTATGGCCAGTTGCCATATTCCCCCTTTGTCATGTCTTACCCAGCCTGGTAAGTGCCATCCTGTGTCATACATGGAACCCCTTCCAGACGTTTGATCATCTTTCTTGCTGTTCTCTGCATCTTTTCTAGTCCTACTCTGTCCTTTTGGGACAGAGACCAAAATTGCGTGACTGTTCTTGAAAGGAGCAATATCTGCAATAGGGCCTGTAGTTTTGCTTGGCCCTTTTATGCATATAGCTGTGGAGTGGGTTGTTCAACACAATGCTTCCATGAGTGCTTCCAAATGAAGAACAGAATTGGAGCATTGAAAGCTACATCAGCTCACCACCGTTAATCCTGACATACTTTAGCTGTTCACGGCCAGGAGTATGATGTTAATCACTGTATGTTTGTGACAGTTTTAGCATCTACTTATTGTAATTTAAAGTAGATATTATGCTGCAGGGCCACACAAGGTATCCTTCCAGCTCCTTGTGCTTTGCTTAAGCACTCCCATTGCTATCTAGCTTTGAATGACCAGTAAAAGCAGTTGGGAAGCTGGCCATCTCCATGTAGCCCAGACAGTCTTATGCCATGGTTGGAGGCCAGTGATCAGGCTGAGCCGAGTCTGTTCAGTACAGGCACAAGAAACGGAATATAGCAGTGGTGAGCAGCATTGGATTGCAAGTTTGGTCCTTTTGCAAGACCAAGAGTTTTGGGGAAGATGAATGTCAAAACGTGACTTACTGCATCCCCTTCCTCCAGAGAGCAGGAGCTCCTGCAGCTCTCCTGCAGATGTGGATTATTCCTCCTCCTGTATTGCTCTGGTGTTGAAGCTGGCACAGTATAGGGGGACAGACATGTAGCCTTGCCTGTTTTCTACTGCTTCAGCACAAATCCAGTACATCTACTCAAGGGAAGAGGGAAAATAGAGACCTACTGGCTGCTAGTCATCTTTGCATACTATCAGGCATAGCAGCCTGCGGAGAGTCTTGCGGGGCTTTACTGGGGAACTGTTAGAGAAGGAAGGTTTGTATCGTAGTTAAAGCCCAAACCTGGGACTGAATATTCAATTCCTGCTTCTAGAGAGTCTGCATCTGTAATTTTGCCAGATCACTCCTCTGGCTTTAAATCTCAGTCTCAAAGTTAATAATCCACCCTTTTTCCCATGCTCTGCTTTTTCTTATCTGTTTAAATACGAAGCCGTTTTGGGCCAGGAGGCGTTGTCCATGTTCACATAGTACAAGCTCCTACCAAGTGTGGAGCCTCAGCCTTGGCTAAAAATTTCCAGTTTTGCCAAAATACAAGTGATAAGGCTGTCAGCTGGTGTGAAGAAAAGTCTCTGGGCAAGACGGTGTCTTGCCAGATGCTGATGAGCAACATGTTCAGAGCTGTGCGAACCTGTCAGCTCTCTGCAGCTCTAGGCACATCCCAGGATGTAAGTATAAATATATAAATAGTATAAAAACCTACTTTAGTCAGCACCCAGATGTCAGCCTGGCTTTTACTGCACATTTTATCTTGTCCAAAAAGCCTGTCCTTCTGTAGCCAGGCAGGGCTCCTTGCCGTGCTCCATCTGGGAAAGGTTTCTGTAAGGTCACTTGGAGTTGTATTGTGTTGGTCCCTGGAATCCCCTTTTTCCCCCACCTTCACCATCAGTGGTATTTGCTTTTGAGGTGAAAGCAACCTTCCCCTCTCCTCAGTCCCTTACTGCCAAGGTGCTGTTCCAAGTCACGTACCTCAAAACTACACAGGGTGAGCTGGTATGCTTGGATAAGGTTTTCTGTCTTGTCATATTAATTACATGTTCTAATATTAATTACATCTTTTAAAGCTAGGAAACTATGACAGCAGAGAAGCATAGAAATGGAAGAAAAGGATTTCACCAGTATGTTTGAACCTGTCTCACCCCCTGACTCTGCTTAGCAGATCTATTTGCAAATAACTGTGAACAATCCAGGTCACTGCTGCACCATCCCCTGGAGTGTGAGAGCTCATGGGACATTGCTAAAGAATGAACCTCTCTCAGGAAGTCCTACAGCGAAGCATGTATAAACAATGCTATTTGTTCCAGCATTTCAAGGTGAAAAGTAAGGAATTAAGTTCCAAAAGGCATATCCTCTTGGAACCGCCTGCTCTGAGCCAGGATTCATGTTCTTCAGGGATGAATGGAGCTACAGATGGGAAGTCATCTTCTACCTGCTCCTAGAAGGTGAAAGACTTCAATTTGAGCCTCTTGAGAGTAGCTTAAATGTTGAGTAGGTGGCTCTCACAATCACATGATTGGCAAGAAGATTATAGCAGCTTCAGGAACAGCAGCAGGGCAGCTGAACCGTTTTGAAAGGCGGGTAGCCTTTCCAGAAGAGTGAACTGTTGATGGAGAGAAGCAGAGCTAAGCTCTTGAATCCTGACAGTTTGGGCAGTGGGAGTACTAAACCAAACTGGACAAAACTGTTCAAGGTCCTGTTTTGATGACAGACAAGTATCCCAGCTTGCAGTCAGGAAAGTAACTGTAAACAGGCAAGTTACTGTGGCACCCTCTGTGAATATGAAAAGTTTGATTTGGAAAGGCAAAAAATACTACACAAATATTTATCCCTGCTTGTGTCTTGTCTCACTTGTTCAGCAAGCATTTTCTGACAGGGAAAGTCTTCTTTGGGAACTGGTCTTTCTTGTCCTTCAGCAGGCAGCATCTTAACAAAAAATTGTTTGCTTCTTGTTCTTCAATCATATGGGACATCCTTCTGTGATTGTTTATGTCTGTGGATATAATATAATGTGTAATAATGGAAAAACTGCAAGTTGATTGCCAGGTATGGGACTTTGCTTGAGTTTAAACTCAGATGAGATTAAATTGCCTGTTTAATGAAACAGGACCAAAGGTGAAAAAGTAGAAGACAGTGTTTCAGCCTTTGCGTTGAGTCAGGGGCTTCATTGCACTGACACCACATAGTGCTCATGCTGGAGTCAGGTCCTCCATGGGACAGTGTTGTGCTCGCTTCTGCTCTTGTTGATGATGCTGTGACCTTCACATCACCGTGTTGCACCTCCCTGTGATAGTACAGCATCCTTCGTTCTTTTAGTACAGCTCTGGAGGGGACTGCTGTATTACTTGGTGCTCTAATAATCCTAGGTAGAAAAAAAATCAACTTTTTTTTTTTTCAATAACAGGAGTCCCTGAGCACTGATGTTGTAGTGGCAGTTGAAATGGTTTTCATGTCCACATCCTGACTTCTTAACAGAAGAGAGAAGAAAGTTGCATCTGATAAAGGCTGGAGAATGAAGAAAGAGAAAGACCTGGAGGAAAGTGCAGAAGGGGCAGTTGTACCACTGGCTACATTCCTAGTTACACTGTCTATAGGAGGAATTTGGTGGCTGATTAATTGTAAAGTCATCAAATCGTAGAATAGTTTGGGTTGGAAGGGACCTTTGAAGATCATCGAGTCCAACCTCCTTGCCATGGGCAGAGACATCTTTCACCAGACCAGGCTGCTCAAAGCCCCATCCAATCTGGCCTTGAACACTTCCAGGGATGGCGCATCCACAACTTCTCTGGGCAACCTCTTTTTATTGCCAGCAATAATTTTGCTCAATATTAAGGACATGATTTGCCTTCTTGTCAGTGAGTATTTCAAATAATTCTCTCTCTGTAAAAAGAATACATTTATCCCTATTTATCTTTCTGGATTTTTCTGATTTTTTCATTCAATTCTGTGTTGCTTTTTGTACTTCTTTTTCTTTATGGACAACTTTACCAGCCTCTATGTGAGTGGAGTTGGTCCCTAGGGAGCATCAATAATGTGATTCTTCCTGTCTTCTTTCATGTTTTCGTACCAACATTTAGGAAATGAAACAAAAGAGGGTTTCTGATCATTTCAAACAGAGAGCTAGCAGCTGAGGAAATAATCACAGAGTCCTATGGTTTGGGTTGGAAGGGACCTTAAAGATCATCTGGTACCGACCCCCTTGCCGTGGGACATCTTTCACCGTACCAGACTGCTCAAAGCCCCATCCAATCTGGCCTTGAACACTTCCAGGGATGGCGCATCCACAACTTCTCTGGG